CTGTACAACTGTAACCTAACATCCCAACTCCTATACTCTACTCCTTGACTGATGAAGGCCAGCATGCTAAATGCCTTCTTCACCACCCTGTCTACCTGTGACACTGCTTTCAATGAACTTTGTACTTGCACTCCTAGGTTCCTCTATTCCACACACTCCTCAGGACCTTGCCATATACTCTATAAGGCTGCCTTGGTCAGACTTTCAAAAGTGCAACATCTCACATTTATCTGTATTGAATTGCATTTGCCAATCCTCCGCTCACTTCCCCATCTGATCAAGATCCCTCTAATTTTTGATAACCTTCTTTGCTATCAACTATACCTCCTTAACCCCTTCCCTTGCTCTTTACTCAAAGGCCTGTTTTTTTTTTTTTTTTTTGTTTTTTTTTCTAAATCTGTTTCTCCCCCTACCCAATTTTGCTTTTAAAGTTACTGGTGAATCTTCTCCCACCATCCTTCGGGCAGTATGTTACTGATCACAAGATGCTGCAGTGGAAAGCTTTCCTTGTATTGCCTCCAAGATAGGCTTGATGGCCCGAATGGCCTATTCCTGATAATGATCTTAGAGTGTCTGGCTCTTCTGCAAGTCAGGTTGAATCAGTTCTGGTTACCCACCCTTCTGTATCTGGAAGCTGTTTGTCTTTAGTTACTTCAACATCATTTGTGGTTTCAAACGAGCCTGCTCTCTGGATGTGCTCTGCCCAAGCTAGTCTTTTTTAACAGAAGAGTGGGTCATGAGGATTCTTCAGGTTTGGCAGAAGTGCAGGATTCACAGCTGCTGTACACAATTACATTTGCTTTTATTTGGCCCGGCTGATTTTTGTTATCTTTTGATCACACTTTATGACTGCTTGCTGGGATTTAGTGTTCTTGGCAGTGAAATGTTTGGGTCATCCCACGCTGCACACAGCAAGTGAAACATTAAAAGGCTTTATTAAATGGAGCCTTTATCCTTTTTCTTTCCTACTGGATGCTCATTTTTGAAGAGCATTTCTCTCTTGGTGGTGGTGGTGGTGGGAGGGGTGGAAATGCACCTCCTGGACACAGCCAAGGCTGAAATCAATTTGCCGTCTGAGATTTATCGATGCCGATACGTAGGAGGATCAAATTGTGCAAGAAACAAAATAAACATATCGCTCCCCACTCAGTTCAGAAAGGACTGTTGTACATTTTTAAGGTGTTTCAGAGATAGTAGGAACTGCAGATGCTGGAGAGTCTGAGATAACAAGGTGTAGAACTGGATGAACACAGCAGGCCAAGCAGCATCAGAGGAGCAGGAAA